TGTCCTTTCACCATCGTGTCTTTCCTTATTGTGAGCTGAATGCCTAGGGCTCCCAGGACCTAGAGGAGGGCATAGTTAGAGGTGGAAGTACTCTGGTCCCTGAATGAGACTAAGAGGAGGGAAGGGCCCGGAGGAGAAACACCCACGTCATCTGTGAAGAGTGAGAAATAAGCTTCTACTGTGTTAAGCCACTGAAAATTTGGAAATTAACTGTTATAACAGCTAGCATTACCCTAAACATCACAGATAGTGTGATCCTTATCTGTAAGTTAGGAAAATGAAGCTCAGTCAGGTTAAGCAACCTGCCCAAAGTCAGCCAAATGTCAAAAGTGTTATTACTGGGGGCAGAGGTGGAGGCACTAGGCCAAGGGATGAGGTGAGGTGTGCAGGACAGGGGCTGGGAGCTTACTTTAAAAAGAAAGGAAAGAAGGAAGGAAGGAAGGAAGGAAGGAAGGAAGGAAGGAAGGAAGGAAGGAATGAGGGAAAACTAAAGAAGGAGGCAAAAGGGACTAAAGGTTTAGATTTGAAAAGAGTGAATAGATACCACACACAATATGTGTAAATGGTCCCCTTTCTTTTGCTGATGCATATTTATACCCTTCACTGCCCCATACTGTTTTTTAAATATATATATAAACAGAACTTGATATCTGGTCACGACAAACTGAAAGCCAAGGCATTTATGTTTAAGGACTTAACTATGCTTTTGGAACTCCTGGTGCTGCCTGAGAATGCTCTATGAGCCTTTGCAAGTCCCAGGAAAGCACCCCACTCAAGCGAACAAAACTTCCCTCCAGCAGCACTCCATAACTTTGGCCATCTTGGAAAACCTCAAGTGAGGTGGGAGAGATAGACAGGAATGACTCCTCATTCCTGCCACAATTGACCCCTTATACTTGTTTTAACAACCACCAACGTTGCAAAGATTGTTCTGGAATAAAATATAGAGGAAGCAGCTAATTGGTGATTCATAAATAATAAATATATAGCAGGAGTATTAGAACTAGAACAATAATATTGGCCAAACTCTTTGAATGTTTTCCAGATATAGAATTTCTCCCACTCTGGAAGAGTCTGGGATTATCCCAAGATCTCAGGAAGATCAGCGAATCGGGTTAAGCAATTCTAATTCCCTGAATTTTCCAGAAAATGACAACTCTCTAATGTTATAGATACCAGAGTGGACAAAGAAGAAGTCATAGCAATGTGATTAACAAGGGAAAATAAAAAGAACTCCAGGCTTATGATAAAGTGGGTACAAGAAGTTGTACCAACCATTAGTTATATATCTAAACCCCATTAAATGAAGACATATGGTAAAAAAGGAATATGATCCAGTATTACATTCAGTGGACTCTGAATTCAAATACTCATATCTCATTGTAGGTCAAATATATCTGTGCTACGTGGACCGAAAAAAAATCCCCACTCTAAATATGTGCCTTACTAAAATGTTCACTTTCCAAACAACTTTATCTGGTGAAAAAAGTTAGTCAGTCTTGAGTTCTTCATCCCACTGATTATTAGGCGCAATGCTATTTGTAACAGAAATGTTGTGAATAATTTAAATATTATAAATTTGCATGAAATAGCCCTCTCATAAATTCCTAAAATAGTCCCTAAAATAATGACTCTAAGATGTTGATTTGACAATGATGCTAGAATGGCACTATTAGTAGAGTGACTCCATTTAAAAGAAATACAGGGGGAAATGATTATAAAATAATTTAAAACAAAATGATTGAAAACCCAAGGCAAATGTGGAAACCTAGGAATATCACGATGAAACCACTGTGAGGTTAGTGACAAGGGTAGTTTTTGAAAACCATACCTTCATTTGCTAATTTCATTCCCTGTTATAAGGTACCTTACTGTTCACTGATTGAATCTTGACAAAGGGTAAATCATGTCTGCATGGAGAGTCTAGCAGGGTCCCCATACACTACTCTGTCTTTGGGATTTTTATCAAAACAGCATCAATGGCAAGGCTGTATTCAAAGCATCCCCACAAAGGGGCCGAGACAAGTACTAAAAAGTCGCAGAAGGTCAACCTTTAGGAGATTTATTTCCAAGTGTGGTCGAGGAGGAATAAAGCCAGTCAGAATTATCTTGTTCTCAAGTGCTGTACCAAAATGGAGAAGGATTGAACCATTGCTGGACTGAACCCCAGCAATGTCTTGGGCCATCAGGAAGATAAAAAGTTTCTAAATGATGAAAACAATTAGTATTCTTTCCTACAGAATCTTAGGTTTATAAGAAAGCTGATGGACCATTTTTGACAATTGGAAATCTCATTTTAGAATTTCTGGAAAAAACTAATCTAAAATGTCACTGGCTCCCGCAAAAATGTTTGATTGAGGGGCAAAAATATTACCAAAGACATGGTCGATTCAAGGTCTATGAATACCAACCAGTAACCATGGTAAAGTTTTAATTTACCAGCTAAAATGGTATAAGCAAAACAAGCTTGAAATAACTGAATTAAATCCATGTAAGCACAAAGAGGACAAAGGTCACACATATTAGGTTCTCCTCTTGTCCTAAGACCACTTGTAGTTTTTTAAACCATGGGTCATGACCCATGACTCAACAATGAGTCTTGAAATAAATTTAGTGGGCTTACACTCAGCATTTAAAAGTAGTGGGTTTACAATCAGCATTTTAAAAGAATACAAAAATATGAAATGGAATAAAAATACCACAGAACATAGTACATAGTAGTGAAACTTAAGACGCATGTGTGTGTGAGAGAGAGAATGCACACATTTGAGGGTCATAATGTAACATGTGGGGAGTTGAGGAATGTAAAAGGTCCCTTTGCCCCTAAATCTCATTTCCTCAGTTCCATCAGAATGCCTGGAATTCAACAATAAAATATTTATTTCTCTACACCATGAATATTTGGGGGATTTCAAAAGCATCCAGTTAAAGTGAGATGTATCTGAGAAGGATACAGTCTTAAGTTCCATCAGCCAAGGCTGATGTGACACCTCTGTGAGCAGAGGTGAACACAAGCGAAGCACTTTTGTGATAGGAGAGTTTTGCTGGAAGAGTAGATGGCAAGACCACGAGATTGTCCTAGGATTTCACGTTTTAACCTGTATCCTTTCTGTGAGCGTCCATCAATGATTCCCACACAGGGTGCTCTGGTGTTGTGGGCTAACAAAAAATCAATAAGAAGAATTCTGAATATACCCTTTTAGGGTTCTTCAGGTTTTACTGGATAGACATTCACAGACACCTTGGATAAAGGTCTCTCTTAGGGCCTTTACTTTTCACACCAGTTACATGAAAAGTATCTCAAGGAACATTTAAGTCAATGATCCTTAAGCCTCATTATACATCAGGGGGTGTTTTTGAAAATGTAGATACCTATGCCGTACCCCCGGAGACTGCATTTCAAGTGGTTTGGGAATGGGGCCCAGGCCCATGATTTTACTGTGGAATTGGGTTTGAGAACCAATCATGTTCTACGATTCATATGATTCTTGAATCCACTCATATTTTGAACAGATTTTGTTCTTTTGTTAGATAGCTATAATTTTCATGATGTTTTCACTTAAACTAAGCGGGAATCTGTCTCTCTTTAGAATCAATCCATGAGTCATTTTTTTCTACTTTGCTCTTCCTTGAGTACGCCCAGCCCCCATGGATGGATTATGGGTCAACTCCCTTTACCATATGCCAGCTCTTAGTATTAGTATACACAGCAAACAGCACAAGATATATAACATAGTAACAGTTAACACTTATTAAATGTTCATGACCAATAATACTATTGTGGTTGTTATCATTATTACAATTAGGGAGTAAAGCAAAGATACCTGTTAATAGCAAAATCAGGGACTTCCCTGGTGGCCCAGTGGGTAAGACTCTGCACTCCCAATGCAGAGGGCCCGGGTTTGATCCCTGGTCAGGGAACTAGGTCCCACATACATGCCGCAACTAAAGATCCCATGTGTCACAACTAAAACCTGGTGCAGCCTAAATAAATAAATAAATATTTTTAAAAAAAATACCAAAATCACCAAAGCAATTTTGCCAAGACCAAGGTCAAGAACACACTACTTCACAGAGTTGTTCAGTAAGTAGTGTGTGTTGATAATCTGGAAAAAGGCAAGATGTTTGTTTGTATGTTTCACTTACCTTTTACTTCCTACAGTGTCTTATGGTCAAGTGAGAAACCAATGCAAGAAAAGTGTCATAGGTGTGCTCAGATAAGGCTTGGCAAAAAGGCTTCTTCGTTCATATTTAAGGCAATAGCATTCTAGGTTATGGAAGAACTCTCCTTTGAATTCAAAAGCTCCTCCACAAAGTTTAAAAGGTCTCCAATAATACCTCTTCTTAGAAGACTGAATGAGAATATGTAAAGTTTAGTTCTTACAGAAGAAACACAAGGGAAAAGGTAAATTGGAAAACAAAAACTTCTGGGAGTATGTTTCCACGTCTGTGTCTACCCCACTGGCGAACCTTAACCTTTCTGTGAGTCAGCTTACCCACACATAAAGCCGTGGAACTTCACTGTACTTTAAGAGATGTCTATCGGATTAATACAGTGTGCTCTCAGGCTTGGTGCCATGTCTTGAGTCCTGTGAACTCTCTATAAAGGATTATTATTTATCCTGTAGATCATGTTGCACTGAATAACAATGAGTTAAACCAGATTTATCTGAACGCTAAAATAAACAATAATAAAAATCACAATTGCAGAGTTTTTTTCTTGCTGTTATGTGGGGAATACTTGTCTAAGTACCTAAATCTTCTATTGTTATCTTCTTTCCTATTACTGCCAAGATTAGTAAATCAGATGATAGTTTATGAATCAATATCTAAGCCTTATATTAAGTCTAATTTAATCTTCATTATCATGATTAGTTGGGAAATTCACCTGTAACTATCGTAACAGTATAGACAAAAATGAAACAGCATAATCAAACAAACGTGAATTTCAAAGAATTGCTAACCTTCCATCATTACCTTGCGGAGCTAAAAAGTCATACCTTCAACTAAGGAAGTGAGGAGGGTAACGTTGGCTGCTTTCCGTCTTCCGGCTGGCAAGTTCAGGCCAAGCCTATCCAGTTTCTCCCTCAGGCAGCGACCCCCATTCTTGGATTTTGCTCTGTCCGAAAACAAACAAAAGCTAGGTTTTGAAGGTTGACATTCGGAGTAAAATGATGAGAAGACTTGACCACATGGGGTATTCAACATGGGACAGAAAATGTAAGGGCTGAGGGTTGGGGAGCGTGGTACCAGTACAGTTAGAAGACCGCAGTGCCAGAAAACACCTTTTTCTTACCTTCTCAAAATGCCTCCCAAGAGTGAAGCATTGAGGCATTCAGGTGGTGAGAGGCGTCTCTTCACCTCAGCAATGGTCACCTTGTATTTGGAAGTAGAACTGAGAAGGGACAAACGACCAGGGACAGAGCAAAACAAGTCTGTGGGGTTGACCACGCAGGTGCCACCTTTGGAGGGAAATATATATTATATATTAGTGACTGTGTGAGCAGATAACAACATAAAACACATGTGATAAACTTACTATCACAACACTACATAGGATTTGGAAACACCTGGCACAATTTTCCTTATACATATATCACCTGGATCATCTCAGACAGCTGCTCTGAAGATGTCCTTTCAAATAACACTCAAGGTTTGTCTTTCAAATATCACACAGAAAATATTTGTGAGGGTATAAAAATTAAAATATTTTAGCCAAAATTAGCATCTTATGGAGTGTTGGCTGGCCCACCAAATTTAATTTTGACATCATCCACAACAAGAAACACTTCAATTAGGTAAATACCCACAAAGGGTAGATATTATATATCCATGGCTCTGTGTGTGTGTGTTTTTGTATGTGCACGCATAAACACAATGGATAGGGTTTTTTTTTAATCCATGACTTACTATATAGACAAAAGTTTTGAAGCTCTTTTCTAAAATGTTTGAGAAGCGCCATCTCTCTCCCCTCGATCATCTAACAACTATAGGCACCAGAGTCATTCAATCCCCAGGTACCACTAAAACTCATGTGCCCATTGCCAGAAACTCCCAACCCATGTGAGTGGATAATTGGTCAAATTTCTCTACATATGTCAGCCGTCAGGATCAGCACACACAATCAAACACAGCACCAGACTTAGAACATAGTAAGAGTAACACATTAAATGTTAATGGCCAATAATGTTACTGTATTTGTTATTATCGTTATTACTAGTAGAGAACAAAGCAAAGTTAACTGCTGTTAGCAAAATCACTAAAGCAATTTCGCCCTGCTGGGGCTCCTGGAGCAGAAGCCTTCTGTCTCCAAGGTCCAGAAAGCCCCTTGGAGCTTTTCTCTCCTCCAGGAATAACAGAGAACGTCCCCTAACCTCAGGCAGCTGAAGTAGATTTGAGGACGCAAAGTGATCATCAGTGGGGAGGGTTTCCTACTGCCGGATCCTCCCTTAACGCAAAAATCCTGAGCCAGTGTCCACGCTGCTAATGCAGTGGCTGTACAGCCTCAGGATCCAAGGCTCCTCCCTGTGCCCTGAATAATCTGAGGGCAGAGCTTTGGAGGTTCAGTGGCAAGTTCAAATTCAAAGGTTGCTTTTCTGAGCATACATTGTATTTCTTCAGTTATGGGTAATCTTAAGACCCATCTCCAGAAAACAGTCAAGTTCTATGAGGGAAATGAGAAAAAAGTAGGTGGAGGAAGAAAAATGGGCAAGAGAGTGTTGTCCAATATTTTTACTCAAAGGGTAGTTCTCAACTGGCAGCACTGGCATCTCCTTGGCAGCGTGTTAGAAATGCAGAATCTCAGGCCCAACCACAGACCTTCTGAGTCAGAGTCTGCATTTGAACGAGTCCCTCAGGTGATTCATATGCTCATTACTTTTTTTTAACATCTTTATTGGAGTATAATTGCTTTACAATGGTGTGTTAGTTTCTGCTTTACAACAAAATGAATCAGTTATATATATATATATATGTTCCCATATCTCTTCCCTCTTGTCTCCCTCCCTCCCACCCTCCCTATCCCACCCCTCCAGGCGGTCACAAAGCGCTGAGCTGATCTCCCTGTGCTATGCGGCTGCTTCCCACTAGCTATCTGCCTTACGTTTGGTAGTGTATATATGTCCATGCCTCTCTCTCGCTTTGTCACACCTTACCCTTCCCCCTCCCCATAGCCTCAAGTTCATTCTCTAGCAGGTCTGTGTCTTTATTCCTGTCTTACCCCTAGGTTCTTCATGACATTTTTTTCTTAAATTCCATATATATGTGTTAGCATACAGTATTTGTCTCTCTCTTTCTGACTTACTTCACTCTGTATGACAGACTCTAGGTCTATCCACCTCATTACAAATAGCTCAATTTCGTTTCTTTTTATGGCTGAGTAATATTCCATTGTATATATGTGCCACATCTTCTTTATCCATTCATCCGATGATGGACACTTAGGTTGTTTCCATCTCCGGGCTATTGTAAATAGAGCAGCAATGAACATTTTGGTACATGGCTCTTTTTGAATTGTGGTTTTCTCAGGGTATATGCCCAGTAGTGGGATTGCTGGGTCGTATGGTAGTTCTATTTGTAGTTTTGCTCATTACACTTTGAGAAGCACTGGTGTAGGAGTCACCACCTGCCTTCCCTTCCTTGAGTGAGCAGCTCAGATGGAATGTTATGTCCATCAGGTCTGTGGCATTCAGATTCAGGTGTGTTTTCTAGGCACCAGGGCTAAGGAATCTGGGAGGATGTTTAAAAGGACAAAGGGGCCCTGGACCTGGGTGCAGAGAACAGGCTAACTTTGCCCCACTCTTAAAGTGTTTCTACCCCTGTGCTTTCTGGAATTCCTCCTGCTGTCCTACAGTTATCCAAGATTCCCCTGAAAGTGCTAGGACCCGGGTCTTTCTCCCTAAGCATTCCGAGGCTGGAGATCACCCTGAATGCCCCCTACTCCAAAACACAGGACCGGATATTGAGAACATCCAAGCAGCCAGCTCTCTACAGGCTGGAAGACGAGTCCTGTACACTTGGCTAAATTCCCAATGCTGGTGTCTGGAAACCTGCCCTCAGTTTGAAGCCTGAAAGGTCATAGTCTCAATGATCGAATTGAAATTCTTCTTGGCAGTTAAACTTGTGGCCAATATAGTGAAAAAATATACAAATGCCTGCCTCAGGAGCTGGAAAAACAAATTCAACTGTGCTTCCCCACCTCACAATCTCAGAGAGAATTTTTAAACAAATAATAATAATAATAATTTCTGCAGATTTCTGGTCTTGAAACTACCACTATACTTTCACTGATACTCTCACTTTTTACCTCTAGATGCAAAATGTATTTTAAAAGTAAACTCAAGTGACCTGTCAAAAGTTGAGATGAACAGGAAAGTAAGCTAGATATCAGTGAATCTGGGTTTTATTGTTGTGTTGTAAGAATCATGACCCTGTTAGCTTTAGGACTTAGGCAATAGTGAGGTCATCTGAAGCAAAAATATTAAGAAAATAAGGGAGTTCCCTGGTGGTCCAGTGGTTAGGACTCTGAGTTTCCACTGCTGGGGGCCTGGCTTCAACTCCTTGTCAGGGAACTAAGTTCCTACAAGCCGCACGCACAGCCGAAAAAAAAAAAAAGAAAGAAAGAAAGAAAAGAAAAAGAAAGGAAATAAATAATAATGTTTTTACTCAAAATTCACACATTTTCTCCTGAAAATGGGCTTTCAACTATGGTCACTATGAATCATCAGCAAATTTATATTCTTACATAAATCTTCCTCTCTTGCATGCTAGCCAGTACACACACAGTGGAGAACACAAGAATCTCACCCAACCGGTCTCAAGTTCATTATCAGTGTACATGTTGTTTTCCAGGAAAGGAAAGGGCACAATTTTAGAACTTTCCTATCTTTGTTAATCTGCAGTAGGTTAAAAATCAAATTTAGGGAGTTGCAGAAGATTATAATTTTTGTAAAAGAAGGAGTTATATTGGGCTTTCTCCAACTGGAAAACTGCCCCCTTTGGGCAAAGTGAACCCCCTGTGCTGAAAGCCAGCTGTTCTCAGGGAAGTCACTGAGTCTGCCAGCTAGCCAAGAGAGAACTGTCTGGGCCCTGGGTCTTCTCTCCTGCATCCAGGTTAGCCTTCTGGCTTATGCTCAAATAAGCATTTATTAGGTAAGTCACACAGGCTGCATATTAAGAATATGCTTTATGCACACACAAATCGCCTGGAGGATTTATTTTGTATTCAGGATTAGCCATCAACTCTAGAGTCTTTTATTTTTTATGTCACAGCATCTTTAAAGGGAATTTCTGTTACTTTGATACTTGGCATTGCTGCAGCCTTGGGGAACTCTCTTGTCCTGGTTAAAGATTTGGCAACTTGTAGAGTTTACAGCAGCATGTGGGGAACCTGATGTCTTTCTTCCCAGTGGTTTATTTTTTAAGGAGAAAGAAAAGAGTAATAGGTCAACATAACCAGCGTTTTGCATTTGGAATGAAGGTGGGACGTCTCTAAGGGGCTCCAGACTACAGATGGCAATGATGAGATTTCAGAAAAGGAAAGTCATGAAAGGGTCAACTACGTCAAGCCATTTAGAGTGTTCCTCCCCAGTGTCACTAGCTGAAGTTCCTCTTGGTGCCTGTGTTGCATGTCAGCTCTTATTGAAATTATGCAATATTCATTCTAGACCCAGCACTCCAGTTAGGGGTGTCTCTGGTGCCATAGCTAGGGTTCTCATGCCAAACTTCTCTAGAGTACTCCCCTTTTCCATTCATAGTGCACAGACGCAATACTTCCATGGAATTTACTATTTTAAAAATCGACATTTGGAGATAGAGCTTCCTACTTCCAGTGATGCTGCAAACTCAGATGGGTAGCTATAGTAACAGCATAAGAAATCATCTACTCAAGGTCACTTGTTAGGACGTGGCTATCATAAAAGGGATAACTTTGCCACAACTACAGTGAAAAGTCAACCAAAGCCTGTGTGGGGAACAAAACCAGCACAAAATACAGAGATGCAGATCCTCCAGCGGCCAGACTTTGTCAGATCCCGTGAGGCCAAAAAAGCACGGGGATGGGGCTGCACCCGCCTTGGCGTGCTGGGGACGGTGTGGGGGAGGGAAAGAGGTAAAAGGTTGGCCAACTAGTGACCCATGCGACCTTAGGCGGGTAATTCTGGGCCTCCGTCTGCCCATCTCAAAAATGGGGATGCTCACACCTGCTCCATTTATTTCCCTTATTTATTGTGAGGAGGTACAACGGAAAACGGACGCACGCGTGCTCGTTAACCCGAGTTAAGGCCACTCAACCTTACCATTGTGTTGAACAACCGCCGCGGCGCTGGGCGCAAGCTGCAGAGCGCGACAAGACCCGCCCACTTTTTACGCAGCTACGGAATCGGAAAGCCAGGCGCCTCTGCCTGGGTCCGCTTTTCCTCTTCTCCTTCCAGGCAATTAGGGCAGAGGTAAGAATCCGGGCCCT